GAGTGTCTTCAGAATGTGTGTGCACGACTCTGACGCCTCCGCTCGTTGTAAAAAACAACGCACTACGTCACCCAAACACTCGTCCAGCCTTAACAGTCGACCACAGCTGCATTCATGGTCCAGGCTGTCCACTCAGCAGCAGCAGCAGCTTCATACTCGTCACACTCCAAAACGTCGTTAGTCTACGGTTTCTCCTGGTCGGGCTGAGACTTCTGTCCGAGTCAGGAGGGTTTCAGACGTTCGCCTCCGTCTGCAGCTGCACACCCGAGCCGGGACGCCTGCAGCCAAGTCTGAACTCAGGCTGCATTTAGAGAGCAGAAACATCACTTTTCGATCGTGTCACTTGAAAAATAAATTGGCAGGAGAAGCAGCCTGTTCCAGTAAAGTCAGCAAACCGCCTCCGTGGGACGTCTGGAGCTCAGAGGGAGTCATCCTGCTGAGTATTCCTCCTCGTTTCCGAACAATCAAAGTGTCGTCAGCCCGGGAGAAATCCTGTGTTTGCTATTAAAACAGGGCTGGAAATCCCCTAAAGTGGCCATTGCTGTGGGTTTGTGTGTGAATTTATTTCCTCTAAGGTTGTTTGCGTGCACGCCTGGGTGGGTAGAGTGCATGTGAGTGCACGCCAGGAGAAGCACAACTGCTAACCACATCACTCCGCTGGATGGAAACCTCAGATCGGAGCTGGAATCAGCCCAACCCCACCTGAAAACACGGCTGTGCGCCTCACGGTGAGGGGCAGACAAACGACTAGTCATTCAGCACTTTGAAGTGGGACACGCTTTTAGTTCTGAGTGGATAATTAGGGACACAGACGCTAGTTTATTACTGGTGACTGGGGTCTCTGGTACACATCCTCTAAAACACCTTCAGCGTGGTTTCATGTCTGCTGTGCATCGTTCTCGTGTCCTACCCGTCAAAGAGACGTCTCCTCGTGGACTCGATGGCACTGTCCACGTTACGGATGGCCTGCTCTATGGACGTGCTCACGAAGGTGTCTCCTTCTCGGCTGACTGCAGGAACTGACGGAACAAGATCAGAGCCAGAATTAAATGAACGAAAAAGAAAAATCTCTCCTGTGGTGCAATATTCTTCCTTAAGCACATTTAAATGTTTGAAGATGCAACACAAAGCTGCGGTTTTTCCACTTCAGGGCTTCGGCACATCGGTTTCCCTGATAATGTCGGAGAGAACACATTTCTGGCAAACTCCTCCGTGTTCTCATGCCACTGAAAACACGGAGATGGTGACGTGAGCGCTGAGATGGTCCAAGACAAACTGAGCCTGAGCAGATCGCTCCAGTTTACGGATCGCCAGCGGAGTGCTGCAGGCCGACCTCGCCAGTCTCAGCAGGAAACACCAACACACACGGGGAAGGCGCAGGAACCAGCAGAGTGGGACTGAATTACTGAGACTGGGTCAAAGGTCATCATCACAGCCTCCCCTCTCTGTGGACTGAATTATGGAGCGGGTTTTCACAAAGCAGTAAATGACATCGCCTGATCCGACTGGGATTCATTCCATCCCTTCACACGCGTGCCTTTACGGTGCTTCCCCTCAGGAAACCGCCTAGGTGTTAAACCCAGCCACAGGTGTGGCTACGCCGTAGGGATGTAAGCATAAACACAACCTGCTCTTTCCTTCAACAGGTAAGTAGCTCAGAAGGAGTCTGATAAACTTCTATTACAATCACAGATTTAGCTTAGTTCTCACCAGATCAACAACAACAAGCTGCTGCTGAAGGCTCCAAACGGAGCTAAGCTCATGCATGGACGTCATTTTCGCTTCAGAAGTGTGTGTGTGTGTGTGGGGGGGGGGGGGGGGTATCTTTACAGTATGCTCTAATGGGAAACAGGGTTCATCACAAACGATTGTTTTCCGCTTGGTCCTAGAGCTCAACCAGTGTCAATTTAATATAGCGTGATATTGTTTTTGGATGGTAAAAAGTGCAGGGGTCAAACTTGACTTTGGAAAAAGTGGGGGGGACATGTCCCCCCTGTCCCCCCCCAAAATTACGTCCATGAGCTCATGGCTTCAGGGGAACTTGGTTTGATTATACCTGTGTGTTTATTTAAAACGGGCTCCAGGTGTGACGTTACACGTCTGAATGATTTCTTACTCGTGACCGTGAGCACCATGCTAGCAACCTGGTAGCCGATGGGGTTGCGCGCGATGCACTCGTAGCGCCCGGCGTCCGCCGTGCCCACATCCTTCACCTCCAGGTAACCTTCGGCACTGATGTGGAACTTGCCACTCTCAGTCACCTGAATGCCATCCTGACGACGAGAAACAAGGAGAAAATCAGCTCAAACAAAGTAAGTGAAGCCAACTTCGATGAGCTGAAGGATTCGAGTCCTTTGCTTATTTTGTGCCCCGGCACTCGTCTGCCAGCTGGAGCGCCCTCACCTTGTTCCAGGTGAGGATCGGCCGCGGCTGGCCCTGAGCTCTGCAGGGAATCTGCACATCCTGGCCAGCCTCCACGGTCAGGTCCCTTGGAGCATTTGTGAAAACAGGCGTTACTGAATGAGTTCAAAAACACACACACACACACACACACACACACACACACACACACACACACACACACACACACACACACACACACACACACACACACACACACGTGTTAATGATTCTGCACCGGTCCCAGAACACACAGTCCATGTTGCAGATGGGACACAACGTTTTACAGCCTCACACGAACCCACTCGCAGCGTTTGTGTTGCACCTGAGTGGATGTTGTTCTTTCCACAATAAAAGCCCTGCCAACAGTTTCTCTGCAGAATCTACTAAACAGGCTTAAGACAGAAGTTCTGCTGCGTTCCACGCCCTCACCTCTCTGCTGGATGCGGAGCTGCACGGTGGCGCTCACAGTCCCAACTGGACTGACCGCCTGACACTCGTACAGACCCTCATCGTGCGCCGCGACCCGAGTGATGCGAAGCGTTCCAGAGGATAGAACAACGTGACGGCGGTCGGAAGGTACCGGACTTCCTCCTCGAGTCCAGATGATCACTGGCTGTGGTTGACCGCTTGCCTCGCAGGGGAAGTCCACCGTGTGGCCCTCCAAGACGGACTGGTCCTGGGGCGTGACGGTGAACTGGGGGAGCGCTGGAGTTGGGCAGGAAGGAGGGGTAACAAATATTCCATTACACCACTAAAACAGCTCAACAACCCAATATTTGACAGAGTTGTTTTGTCATAACAAAAATGTTTTTGTGATGAATTAAATATAAAAGTAACACACCTTAGGACCCTCTGTAAGCCTCAAATCAGATCAGTGAAACAGAAACACACCGATGGACTCAAAATTCAACTTTCATGGTTGCCAAAGGGACGTTAGGTGAGCTAAACACACTACCTCGTGGTAGAGAGTGACGATGGAGTCGAGAGAATTAAGACTTATTCTAATTTAAAATATTTTTTCTATAGTGTTAACTGTAGCCCCATTAAAATAAAAAAAATCTTCTGTTTTGTTTCATTTGTAAAACTTTTATGTTTCACATTTGTCAAAAAAAAACCATCTTGATGATTCCCAAGATGTTTAAGGAAAAAAAGAGCCATGGCCCTTAAAACCGTTAAAACACCAACAGTCATGCACGATGGTGGCACTGTGATGGTCTGGGCTGCTTAACTGCACCAGGAGCCAGACTTCTTGCTGTAACTGATGGAACTAGGAACTTTACTCTCTACTAGAAAATCCTGCAGGAGGTGGTTTTATTTTGATGCTTAAAAAGCCGTTCAGGCTGGAAAACCTTTCAGTGTGTCTGGATTAAAAATATTCTGCAAAGAAAAGTGGGCCGAACTGGGTGTGAACTGGTCTGAAAAGCAGCCAAACTATCGACCACAGCCACGTATCCTGTGACTTCCTTAAAGCAAACTAAAGAAATCACAGCTACGGCGGTACTTCTGAACAGAACTGTACACACACACACACAAAACACACCCGAGCCACCGCTGATGAGAGTGGCTGGGCTTGTTAGCAACATGGTGCAACCGTTCTTTAGCTTCTCCCTGTTGACTCTCATGTTCCAGTGAGACACGCAAACATTTTAGAGGAAACACTTGAGCCGTTTCACACAGGCCTGACTCTAATCAGCTCAAACACGTGACCCCGAGCAGCGGAAAGGACACGTCTCTGCAGCAGACGGTATGCTTTGGGATTCAGAAAGCACAGCTGGGTGTGAACTGTTGTTATTACAGGGAAACGCCGACAGGCGGGCTGCAAATGCACACAAGAAACCTGAAACGGGCAGCTTGTTGGTGTCACTTTCTCCAGTTTCTGTTTCTCTCTGCAGCCTCCTGCAGGCAGGGCAGAGCGGCTGTCGCACGCCGCCTTTGTGGTTGCGGTCTAGCGCAGCTCTTTAACAGCGAGGAGCCATCATCCGACATGTAGTTGACGGCATGTTAACAGTTATTACTACATGGAACAACACAGCGTCATTGCAGGATTACGGGCTGCCTGTGTGACGTTAAGCCTGTAATTTTAGCTCCACGCTTAAAGAAATCACATCCAGAGAGAGCAACAAAGTCCTGCTGCTCGTAAACGTTTACAGGAGAACATGCGTGCCGACAGAGCGATGCTTGTAGTGCGCTTCAGTCCACGCCACAACTGTAAATAACGTAAACGCACGCTGCAGCAGCAGCAAATGAAGGCAAAGGCACCAATCCCAGTCTCTGAAAAGTCACCGCCCACAAACAAACAAACAAACAAACAAACAAACAAACAAACAAACAAGCAAACAAACAAACAAGCAAACAGCAGAGCTGCTGTCCAGGCGTAACCCTAAAAGGACCACGCCTTTAATCTGCAGCCTGTCAGAGATCCAAAGGTTTGGCTGCTGGAGGAAGTCTCTTTAAATGAGAAATAAAATGAAACTGGATTATAATCCCATCCACCTGGTTCAGTTTCTAATCCTATCCTCACCCCTCTGATTGACGCGGAGCTGCACCGCCGTGTGCGCCGTCCCCACTGGACTGACTGCCTGACACTCGTAGACACCTTCGTCGCTGGCCGTCACCCGAGCGATGCGAAGCGTACCGGAGGACAGGATGCCGTGACGACTGTCCGACGGCAGAGGGTTTCCCCCTCGAGTCCAGACGATGGCTGGCTCTGGGTAACCGCTCGCCACACAGGGGAACTCCACCGTGAGACCCTCCAGGATGGACTGGTCCTGGGGCGTGACGGTGAACTGGGGGAATGCTGGATAAGAAAAGGAAGGAGGAGTCACAAAAATCCTAAAACACGAAACCTGAAATGAGTTTTATTTTGCTTGGCTCACCCTGCACAATGATGTAGGCTGTGGCGTGTATGGTGTCCACGTTATTGGAGGCGAAGCACGTGTACTGCCCCCCGTCTCCCTGGACTACATTCTGCATGTAAAGCCCTCCAGACGGGGTGATGTTGATGCGGACGTCGTTGGGCAGGGGGGTGCGGTCGCCCTTCGTCCAGGTGATCCTCGGCTGAGGCTGGCCGGTGGCGCTGCACTCCAGGGTCACGCTCTCCCCAACCAGAACCTCCGTGTTCTGGGGTTGGATCACAAAACTCGGTCGTGCTGCAGGAGGAAGGAGAACGAGAGAACGCAGCTTTCATGAACCACTTCCTGTGGAGCTTAAACGTGCTTTCGTAGACGGTGAGGTTTGTTAAACGGCTTCACAATCAGCCCAAAACATCTAAAATAAGAGGAGGGCTGCGGTTCCCCATCACACGCCCTACACCCGAACCCTCCATATGAGCAGAAACTTTCAGACCACGCAGGATTTTAGTTTCTTCTACATCCTGACTTCAGGTGCATGAGGGCATTCATTTACATCGTTCAAGTCTTTGCTTGTGCTCCTCAATCCTTGAGAACGAAATGACAAACAGCCTCCACTTTACTTTTAGTCAACCTGAGTGATCATAATGAGAAGGACCCGTAATCCAAAAAGCAGCCCAGATTATGTAGGATTACAGTGGAGAGCAGCAACTCACATGGAGCTCCAAAGTACCGCAGAGTAACCTCAGAGGTCTTGACCTCCCCAGCCACGTTTTTGGCCATGCACTGGTAGACTCCCTGGTCCGTCTCTCTCGTGTCCTGGATCATCAGAGTCCCGTCTTCCAGCAGGTTCAAACGGCTGTCGTCACGCATGTTTAAAGCATTGCTGCAAGGAAATCGCACTCGGTAACAAAAACAAGCGTTCTGTTATAACAACCTCCATGACTGTGTGAATAATGGTTAAGTTCTGTGTGCACGTTGTTGGGAGCTTGGAAACCTAAAGCCTGAGGAAGGAAGCCGGCAGCAAACGAGGAGAAACGGCAGCGATTGGTGTCTTACTTGTTCCTCAGCCAGATGATCTGGGGCTTTGGGTTGCCCTCTGCCCTGCAGGTGAAGTACACCGTGTTTCCTGATGTAACGTCAGCGTCCTGTGGCTCAGACGTGATCCTCGGCACCTCTGGAGATGATTAGACAAGAGGATGTTTTATTGATAGTGTTCCTTCGGTTCACCGAGGCTAGCGGACATTTGTTTGTGTTGAGTTCTGGTCTTGATCGTGTTGAGGTTCACGTTTGCGTTCTGCAACAACATGCTCTGCTGCACGGCCCGGCTAGCCGCAGACGTTGGTTCAGAGCAAACGTGAGCTAAATTCAAGTTTCAAGTTTATTTCTAAAGCGCCAAGTCAGGACCAGAGTCGTCTCAAGGACCTGCACACGGTAAACAATACAGGTCAGCTCATTAAGCCAATCCGTAAAAGGTTTCCATATAAGGAACCCAGCAGGTCGCATCGAGTCACTGACTCGTGTCAGAGTCTTTACAGCAACCCTCATACTAAGTTAAAGGTTCGTTTAAGCTAAACAAACAAGTCTGCAGTCCTCTAGAATGATCTTTGCTGCTCGTTTTCGTCTTTGAGCGGGTGAATACCGAGAAGCAACAAACAGGAAATGAAAGCTCTCTCGCTCTGTGACCCCTGACTGTTACACCCTCGTCCAACATTTCTGCAGAAGAAACCCACCAGCCCTTCTGACTGGCTTGAGTTTCTGTCATGGGAAAGAGAAGCTTTGTGGGGATGAATGCTTCTTTGATTTGTGTTTCGACAACAGTCAGCGTTGGTCCAATTCTTTTACAGGGCCCTATAGGAGGGACTACCGAGGGGGGTAGCTCGTCTTTCACCGTGCTCACAAGCAGACATTCTTCACCTGGTGCCCTGCTATGCAGACAGACGAGGGAAGGAGGTAACACGGGGCAGGATCAGACACGCTAAGGCCAACAAATTAGCTGCTGTGATTAAACTGCGGCTGAGTCACAGCTGCCTGGCTCAGACTGCAGGATTCAGAAGAAAATAAAGAGCTCCAATAACTGGATTCAAAGCTCTGGAGCTCCCCGACTTCAACGAGAATCAGTGACGATAAAAACTACTCATTTTGTGCTCATGCTTGCTTTTCTCTGGCCTGCACAGACCACAAACGCCGAATGTAAAAATGAGTCCATTTCTTTCACAAAGACGACTGAATTCTGTCAACTAATCATGAAAACAGCAGCGTTACTTTTGCACCTCCGGTGGTTTAAAACAACTGAAGTTTTCACTTTCATCAATCATCAGAAGAACAGTTCCAACACCAATCTAACCAGATGAAAGAGGCCGTGTGTTTTCTTTGTAGCAGGGCAGAAAATGCCCAATCAGTCCAACATGGAATCAAAAAGGCATGAAAGGAAAATGCAAAACACCTGCAGCAGCGTGCAAACACACACGCGCTGGGTTCTCGGAGTCTCCGTTACAGATGGGAGGAAAAGAGCGTAAGAACCCTTTCAAGAGGCGCCGCTTTTACACAAATGCTCCACAGCACCACTTTGTCTTCACATTATGTTTCACAATGCTTCAGATTTAATCAACACTTTTACCAAAATACACATGAATGGTTTAAAGACGACCGTGCTGTATCATCTGATAGATGAACTAGGCAGCTGCCTGTGCTTGCAGACCACAGACCAACACTTCCTCCAGCTGGTGGTTTCTGCAGACGTCAGACACAAAGACGATCCACCTGTGTGCACATCTGCGTCTGGGGGGGGGGGGTGACTAAACACATCTGCTGTTTGGAAAGCAAAGAAGGCTGGAGCTTCGTCCTGTGAGCATTACTGTTGAGTTTTAGAACCAGTGTCAAAAACAAACAACAAAAGACAAACGAACCGCTAGGAAAGCCGGATCAGGTCTGAAGGAAAGGCCGTAGGCCTCCACATCAGCAGGGGGACCCAGAGAGCACAGCGCCACAAATCCAGAGTGTCATTACGGATAAGCCAGGGATTCCCTTCACTGAGGAACAGTTTGGATGTGCAATGAAGACACAGTCATGGGGGTGGGTGGGGGTGGGGGGTCTATTCTAGTCTATAAATGAGCCAAGGCTGCAGTAGGATGACATCACACCATAATATATAAAAATAACATTTCCACAGAATCCAGTGTGACACATCGGAGATGTCTAATTCATGTCATGTTTAGTGTTTTTTTTTCTTTTTTTTACCGCAGTTGAGCTCCTGAGCCGTAAGCGTCGCCACCGATCGGCCCTGCAGGCGGCTGGGAGTGTCGCAGGTGGCTGCAGCCTGGGCGTTCCCCGACTCGGCATACTGCTTCAGCAGGTCAGCCAACCAGAGCAGCTCACAGTCACAGTTTAATGCATTAGAGTCCAGTCGCCTGCACACACACACACACGCACACACACACGCGCACGCACACGCGCACGCACACACGCACACGCACGCGCACACACGCACGCACGCACACACGCACACACACGCACACACACACACACACACACACGCGCGCACACACGCACGCACGCACACGCGCGCACACACGCACGCACGCACGCGCACACACACACACACACACACACACACACACATGGTAAAAGATGAATCGTTGGTGAATGTTTTTGGATGTAACCAGTAAAGAAAAATCAGCTCAAGGAAAAGAGAAAAAGGTCTGAAGGCGTTGATGAATGGCCCCGCCTTGCAGCTATCTTCATGGGCCGACGGGAATATGGAAAATCTAAAAGCGAGGAAGTCCTCTGAGATCAGGGCTGACTGTGCATCCAAACATGATCCAATCTCAGGGCTTCCTGGGTCCCCATTGATTCACTTTGTGCAGCAGCAGCGATGTGCATGAAACCAGACCAGAGGCCCAGCAGGACCATGCAGGAACGTGGTCTGGTGTCTGAGGGAAACCGTCAGCCCGAAGCTCAGCTATACAGGCTCTACTGCCCATCTGAGATGTTCTACATGCATACAACTATTTGTTAGGCTGAATAGTTCAGAAAATGCAAACATGAAAATAGACTAAGCAGCAGCCAAGTCAGAGAAAGCTGCTCTCAACTAGCAAAACTGCACATTTGAGGAGGATTAAGCTCCTTCTGCACACATTTCCTCATCCGTCCGCAGCCTGCACTCCCCGAGCATCAGCGCGGTCAACTTTAAAACAGAAGAGTCAAAAAGAAGGCGAGGAAACAGCTGATCAGCTTGTAGTCAGCTGAAACAAGATAACCTGAAGTGAGACACACATCCTCACACACGTTTTCTAGCCTCCTTTCTACTTACAGTCGCCTCATAGCCTGAAGATGTGAGAAGGTTCCTGGAACGAGCTGCTTGATTCTGTTATTGTGCAAAAACCTGAGCGAGAAAATGCACGTTTTAAAATCAAATATATTTTGGGAACAAAGCTGCTAAACAGAAAAATGCAGGATATTACGAGCAGATAAATTATATTTTTCCTTTTCTGACACACGTGATCATCTTCCCAGATATCTAGGAACTTCTGCGAGGGCATTTCCTGTTTGTGAACATGTTTATAAATAACTTTAATTCAACATCTGCGCTCATTTTTCATCCTTTTCTTCAGAAATAGGATCTCTGAGTGTGCCGTCGCTCTGCTGTGGCCGTCTCCATGGAAATATTCCCCAACAACAACAACACAAGTATGCGCCTGGAATTCTTTCCCACCCCTCTTCCTGGATTTTATCTGCAGGTGTTCCAGTCTAGAGTCTGAAGGCACGAGCAGGAAATCCTCCCGAAACAATAAAACAAGAATCTAACAACACTTCAGCTCTAAGGAGAAACGAAGGAGCCCATTGGTAGAAAAGATAAGAAAATCTTAAAGAGCAAGTCACCCCCTACAAGAAACTAACTGCACTCCCGCTTTCATGTTTGAAAAATGCAACAAATGCTGTTGCCTAGCAGACCGAGAGGGCGGAGCCACTAAGCAATACACACAAACAGGCTCATAACAGCATTGTGACATCATAATGTACCAGCTAAAGTCATTGTGTACCTCTCAGCCAATAGCGATGGCAGATTTAAATTCAAATGTAGTGCTGAGTTTTTACCTGACACGGTGCAACACCGACAGTTTTAGGTAGAATGTCGTCGTCGTCCTCGTCTTCCTCCGCTTATCCGGGTCCGGGTCGCGGGGGCAACATCCCAACTAGGGAGCTCCAGACCGTCCTCTCCCCGGCCTTGTCCACCAGCTCCTCCGGCAGGACCCCAAGGCGTTCCCGGACCAGATTGGAGATGTAACCTCTCCAACGTGTCCTGGGTCGACCCGGGGGCCTCCTGCCGGCAGGACATGCCCGAAACACCTCCCCAGGGAGGCGTCCAGGAGGCATCCTGACCAGATGCCCAAATCACCTCAACTGACTCCTCTCGATCCAGAGGAGCAGCGGTTCTACTCCGAGTCCCTCCCGAATGTCCGAGCTCCTCACCCTATCTCTAAGGCTGAGTCCGGCCACCCTACGGAGGAAACTCATTTCGGCCGCTTGTATCCGCGATCTCATTCTTTCGGTCATTACCCAAAGCTCATGACCATAGGTGAGGATTGGGACGTAGATCGACCGGTAAATCGAGAGCCTGGCTTTCTGGCTCAGCTCCCTCTTCACCACGACAGATCGGCTCAGCGTCCGCATCACTGCAGACGCCGAACCAATCCACCTGTCGATCTCCCGATCCCTCCTACCCTCACTCATGAACAAGACCCCGAGATACTTAAACTCCTCCGCTTGAGGTAGGACCTCTCCCCCGACCCGGAGTTGGCAAGCCACCCTTTTCTGGTCGAGAACCATGGTCTCAGATTTGGAGGTGCTGATCCTCATCCCAGCCGCTTCACACTCGGCCGCGAACCTACCCAGCAAGAGCTGAAGGTCAGAGCTGGATGAAGCTAGGAGGACCACATCATCCGCAAAAAGCAGAGACGAGATTCTCCTGCCACCAAACTCGACGCACTCCACACCACAGCTGGGTAGAACGTTTAAATTTTAACTAAGAGGAACTAAAGTGCCAAATTATTGACTGCATTTGTTTACAGCACAATTAGACACTCATTTATATAGTTTATCAGTAAAAAAAATGTTGATTTGGGGGTGACTTGCTGTTTAAATATTAAACGATTTCCTGGTAAATCTACTTTAGTAATACAATAAGCCTCAGGGGCATCTGTTTGGGCTGAGCTGCCCTAATAATCATAATCTGTGCAAAGATGAAGTCACTTTTAGCGTCTTTGAGGTCGGACAGACTTAACTCACAGCCGCTCCAGTTTCGGGAGATGGGTGAAGGATTCTGGCTCCAGAGTCTCGATGTTGTTGAAGTGCAGATACCTGAAGGAGACAAAGTGAAGGGACATTTCATACAGGCGGGACAAATAAATCTCATTACTAAGACCTCATTCCTTGTAAATGTGGACAGATTTGAGGAATAACCACAGCAGGATTTGATTAAATGTACGTTCTAAAATGTTAAAGGTCTTTTAAAAGGCTGTTAAACACAAGAGAAACCAGGTTAAACGATCATCTGGTGGAATGTAAACCACGTTTAGCTTTAATGGAGAGCTGGGGATTTCCGGAACTGCGCTGCTCTGGGTGGCTGCATGTTGGAGTAGCTCTGTTGACTATATTCAATTCAATTCAAAAATACTTTATTAATCCCAGAGGGAAACTGATTGCTGTAGTAGCTCAGAATAATAATAATAATCAAGTCATCAAAGAGTTGTTGTATATTACAGTGGCTGTTGGTAGGAAGGATCTCCAGTAGCGGTCAGTGTTGCAGCCAAACTGAAGAAGCCTCTGACTGAAGACACTCTTCCGTTGTCGGACAGTCTTGTGAAGAGAATCTCTGCTGGTCTGTGCTTGTCTCGTGCTGTTTTACTTTTTTTTTTATGTAATGGCGGACTGCCCCGTTGACTGACATCCGTGGCGCTCCAATCACGGCACTCTTTTAGCAAGGTAGGCGGGATGTTCCCGCTAACAAACATGGCTGCCGCTCCAATCAACCAGGTAAACTACAAATCAAGATGGCTGCCGGTCTGTAGTGGTCCAATCATAGCGCCCTATAGATTTCATGAGCCAACTAAGTAGGCAGGATGTTATTGGAAAAAACAAAACAAAAAAACAAACGTGACTAGTCGGCGGTCAGCCGCTTGTTTGAAACGGCTTTGGCGTCAAGTTTGGACTATTATGACTTTGGCTTTTGTTTGAGTCTAGATCAGA